ATATTAAATTGGTCAAATTGTTAGACTTGAGATCTTCTGTACTTTTTTTTTCTTGCTACCAATTTCTTACAAATAGAGTTAGATTCTTCAGTGATGACCAATACTACAAACATGTCTGTTTCCTTAATTAGGTCCTGTCAGTCCTGAATTTGGAAGCTTTGTTACCAGGCATGTACATATGAAGGATCCGCATGCCTTTCTGTTGAACTGGCCCCTTTATCTCATGTGCTTGGTTAATCTCTGGGAATACCGTTTGCCTGGAAGTCCTCTTTGCTTGTTGTTAATATGGCTCATATCAATCAAGATTCTTATGACTCCTGTTTCTAAGCCCTACCCTTTCTGCTCATTTTAACCTATCTTTGTTAATAAACACAAATAAGCATGGTAATGTATACAGAGAGCACACACTTGGGCCTAATTTCTTTTTTAAAAACTCATTCTAATAATCTCTGTTCTTCAATGGGAGTATTTAGTCTGTTTGATTTGGATGTCAAGTACTCATGCGGCTGACTCAGCTATTCATTCTTGCTCTTGCTTCCTCTGTTTCTACTTTACTGCCCCTTCCTTCTGGGCTAGTGAATTAATTTCTAGCATTTAATTTTTATTTCTTCTATTGGGTCTTCAATGCTTTTTATCTGTGTTGCAATTTCAGTAGCTTCTCATTTCAGTAGTTTCTCTGGGGCTAACAACAGGCATCTTAATTTATCAAAATCTTTATGGCTTTCAAATATGTTTGACATTGTCTATTTCATAAATGGAAAGCAATCTTATTACAGTATAGAAAATCCCAGACTTAGGATGCTTCAACCTAGAATGTTTTACTACATAATGACTCCAACGTGAAAGCGTGGCCTTCATCTGGATCTCTTTCCCAGCTCCCAGGATTGATGTGACACTTGGTCGTGATACTGGGCAATGGCAGCAAGCCCAGCCTCCTGGCAGGCAGAAGACCCAAGCGTGGGGATGGGCAACAAGCACTTCTATCCAGGGCACAGAGCTGCCCAGCCGCGATGCACAGTGGATGTGCTTACTAAACACATCTGCACCTCATGACACTTCCTACTTAACATCAGCTGATCCTAATGTGACTTGAATCCAGGCAGAGAAGGGCAACGATTTACTTATTTATTTGAAAGAGAGAGAGAGAAGGAAGAAGAGACAGAGAGAGTGAGATCTGCTACCTGTTGGCCTATTCTCCAAGTGACTCCCAGGGTCAGAGCTGAGCCAAGCCAAAGACAAGAGCTTCTTCCTCTGGGTCTTCCATTTGGGCGTCATGGACCCAATGACTTGGACCATTTCCTGCTGCCTTTCTCTGGCCATTGACAGGGAACTAAACTGGAAGTGCAGCAGTGGGACATGAATAAACGCCCAGATGGGATGCCAGCACCAGAGGCAGGAGCTACCTACTATGCCACAACGTAAGCCCCCAACTCCATGAAAAATTTTTAAGTAATCACTGTATATGTTAATACATTTCATATTGCCCTATGTGACACTGAGGCCCTTTTGTTCTGTAGAAATTCTTTCTCTCCTTGTTGTTTACACTAAATAATTCCTATTGATTTATTTTAAAATTCACTAACTCCTGAAAATTGATTAGCTGTAATTATCTCATTAAGAATATCCAGTGAAGGGTAAGCATTTGAACTAGCAATTTGATTCATTTCTATTTGTAAGGCAGATTTTCCAAGGACAATGAGAAAGAAAGATCTCCACAAACAGTCAAAATGGCCAGAACTGAGCAGATCCATAGCTGGGAGCCAGGTCTTCCAGGTTTAAGGACCCAAGGCTTTGAGCCATACTCTACTGCTTTCCCAGGCCTAAGCAGAGATGGATGGGAAGTGGAGCAGCCTGGACTTGAACTGGCACTCATACAGATTGCTGGCTTCATAGTGAGGAGGGTTAGCATGCTGAGTCACTGTACCAGCCAACTTCCTTCTTTGAATAATTTACATCTAACTAATTAGTAAGTAAGATTACAAAACTATCACACGAAAAACTCTCCTTGGATGGGCATTTGGTTTAGTGGTTAACACTCTTGTTAAGATATTTGTGTCCCACACTGCAAAACCTAGGTTTGATGCCTTGCTTTAGCTCCTGGTTATAGTGTCCAGCTAAGGCAGACTGTGGCAGGCCATCAGCCTTAGTAACTAGGCTAGTGAAATGATCAACCTCAAATCTTTATCAACGTCTACTAAAACAGGTAATAGTGAAAAGAATCTCTAAAACCCATTTGTTGAAAATGGTTAAGAAACATCTAGAAAATGACCAGTTGCAATTCTTACAGATAGACGGTTATGCAAGGGAAAAATAATGCCCAGCAGAGATCCCAATATGTCCTGCCGCCCTGCTCTGTGCTCAGCAAAGCTGCCCATTTGTCTGAGGAAAGCAGACAGGCAGGAGAGGATGGAGGTCTCAGGCAGCCTGCACTCAGCACATTCAATCAAGATGATAAGAGCGATCATCCTCTGGCATTTGCCTGGGTACAGCCCTAGCTGCCGTGGGCATCTGTGGGGAGTGAACCTTTAGAAGAGTTTAAACTAATTTAAACTCTTTTTAAACCATTTCATGATGCCTACTGACTTCCAAGTTAGGGAATGCAAACAACAATGACGCTATCCAACACAGACCCACAGGAAGATGTAGCATGGTCCAGTTAACGGTCATGGCTGGCACGACAGCTCAGGATACAGGCCGCTGCCGGCAGACTAGAGTGCACTACTCAGCAAACACCTCTGCCACTCCCTCTCTCAGCAAACCAGTTCCCATGGTGGTCAAATTCACAGTTTGATAAGACATTTTATTTGTTTCAAAAGTCTCTTAGGCTTGCTTCGGAATGGTAACATATGACCGGGACTGCGGGAAGAGTCTGAAGCAGAGCAGGCAGGAGTGAACCAGACCATGCAGAATTCTTAATAGTGAACCTGGGTACCTCATCTGACACTCAACATTTATTACACTTATTACAGTTGTGATTTTATTATTTTCGGCCATTCTCTTTCATCATTTCTTTTAAGGGAAAGAGGCTACCCATAAAAGTGGAATGAAAAAATAATGGCTAACAAAACCACAGCATAAGGAGAAGAAATACCGCTGTGGGATCCGCTAATAAAATTGTTCCTTCTCTCCTGGGCTGGCTAACCAACTCAAACATTTCTAATGCATCGTTGGCACATTACCAAGAGCCAGTTTCACCTCTCTCCAAATTTGTGGCCACCATTTATCAGTTACAGAAACTCAAACATCTGCAAGCCTGAGTGCTAGGGAAAGGGAAAGAACTGTTAGGTCATTTCTTGGATTCATGAAGCCAGGAATATTCCAGAAAGCTAGACTACGTTAATGCTTTTCTGGAGAGCCTTTCTCTGCGAGTACGCTAACTGCCTTTTGTGGACCGAAGATTCTTTCTTATTTCAGAGCCAGAGTCACACGCATGCGTGGTGCAGTCTGTCTGTCCAATTCCCTTCCCTCATACTCCTAACACTTCAAACTCCCTAGTCACACTGAGCATGTTCTTCCACTTGTTTCATTATCAAAACAGAAGTAATTTTGACATTCACTTCCTGATTGTAGAGCTTGTCTGTTAAGGAAGTCTCAGGTAGGACGCTGCCTTTTCCCTCGTAAATTTTACTTCAGTGATTTTATTCTCCCGCGAACCATTACCTGAAAAGCCACAAAACGAGGTAATAACAGGAAACCATCGAGTGCTTTCAGCACCAGGCACTGTTCTCAAATTCTCTACATTGAATTTCTTATTTGATTTTTTTGAGATGTCTTATGAAGCAGAAACAATTGTACTACGACGGAAGAAGCAGAGAGTCAGCCACGACCGGCGAGGGTCACAGCCTAACTAGTGGAGGCAGACTCCAGCGGCAGGTTCCTTAGATGCAGCACGCACACAGTGCAGCAGGCTTCTGGATTTCCAAAGTGAGAGTTCAACACACCCGGACAATACCACACTAGAGGGGCTACCCTTGTCCACACCCACAAAGCCAGGATACACTGAAAGGGCAGAATGTTAAACTTGCAGCTGTCAGCCAAGGACTATACGACGGTAATAACACAAACCTGAATCATGGAAAATAATTCGTAAAAATGGAGAAGAATGTTCAGTTTAACCAAGGAGAGACTATGTATTCATGCAGTGTACAAGGATTATGTGAGAGGAAGTTGAGAGGCAGACTGCAGGGGAGGGAAGGGGCACTAACAACCTGGACAGAGATGCAAAATTGGCCTTTAAGCAGGAGGACAATGTCTCCCCAGAGGCAGGGATAACAAGTGGTGTAACACTGATGTGAGCGAGGGATCCCGGGATACATCTGGTTTTGGTAAAATATGAAAAATGCCTCCATGTTGGTAAGTGGTGAAGTTTTGGGAACAGTAAATGAGACGGCGCCAGTGGATTCCCAAAAGAGATACACATAATGCTAGAAAAGAACAAACATCTACGTATGTACTACCAGCTGTGTGCATGTTTCACAAGATTACCGCCTCAGGAGTCCACACGTGGGTGGGGAGAGGTGGCAAACAGGGAAACAACACACAGCAGAGAGAGTTAAAAGGGACCATTTTTAAAAGCTGACTTTCACTACGGCACTCTGTGGAATGGGTATATGAAGGGTCATTATACTTAGCGCTCTGCTTCTGTGCATTTTTGCAAAGATTCTTAGTAACGAGCATTTTAAAAAGTTGGGTATTCATCATATGGTCTCAGAACTACAGTCCTCTCCTAGCCTACCCCGAAACTGCATCAAATGCCTTGACCTTTCAGGGGGTTTATGAAACTCAGAGAGTATTCAGATATATGTGCATACACGCGTGCAGATGCTACAGTATTTTACAATTCACTGAAGCGGCACAAATAACTCATTTTGACCAGGATTAACTACATATCTGACCAAATCTGTTCCAGAGAATCAGAAAGTCAACTTATTAACATCAGGCTCGACGAGAAAAACAGTCTTACAAAGCACATCTCCGAGGGATAAGATCGTAATACTTACTTCATCTCCAGAACTTCCTCTAAATGTTTCCTTCTCTCTGCTCGAAGGTTGGTCAGATGCGTTTCCTTTTCTGCCAGTGACTGCTGGGTGGAGGACAGCTTGGCTTTCATGGATTCCAGTTCCTGCTTTACCTTCTCCATGGCCATCAACAACTCTTCAACCTATGACCAGTAAGCAAGGGGGAAAAACAGGACGTTTGCATCAGTTAAACTCCCAGGGCAAGCCAGCACGATGGCTCAAAGGTCTAATCCCCCACCGTTGGGTGCTAACATCTCATATGAGCGCAGGTTCACATCCAGCCTGTCTCGCTCCCCATCCGGCTCCCTGCTTGTGGCCTGGGAAAGCAGTAGAGGATGGCCAAAGCTTTGGGATCCTGCACCCGCGTGGGAGACCTGAAAGGAGATCTTGGCTTCAGATTGGCTCAGCTCTGGCCGTTGAGGCCTTTTGGAGAGTGAGTTACCAAATGGAACCTGTTTCTGTCTCTCTTCTCTATAAACCTGCTGTTCCAATACAAAGAATTAAGTTTTGTTTTTTATTATTTTGGTAAAGTCAGAGGAACTACACAAATGAGCAACTTCTGGAAGAACTGATTTAGGACAAAATACATAAATAGATAGATAGATTATAGATATAGACAGATATCATATGTAATATGTAACTTATTATATAAATATATATTATATGTAATATATAATCTCTCTCTCTCTCTATATATATATATGGTATAACACTGATGTGAATGAGGGATCCCCGGATAGATATGGTTTTCCTAAATGTGAAAAACGCCTCACTGTTGGTAAGCGGTAAAGTTTTGGGAACAGTAAATGAGACTGTTATATATGTTACACATGCCTGTATCCTTCCTGGATCACACACATGCAGGGACTGATGATGAGACAGAATGGGCTAAGACATGAACACAAACACTGTGTCTCAGGGGCATGTACCAGTCCCAGTCCCCTTGCTGGCAGCCCAGCTCCCTGCTCATGTACCTAAAAGGGTAACAAACGATGGCCCGTGTATTTTGGCTCCTGTCACCCTTGTGAAAGACCGGATGGGGCGTGGGTTCCCAGCTTCAGCTGAGTTCAGAACTGGCTATTACAGGCATTTGGGGAGTGAGCCAGAGAACAGAAGATCTAACTCCCTTGTCACTCTCCATTTCAAACTAATTAGTTTTTTTTTTCCTTTACAGAATATAGAGTAAACAATGCCATTCTGATGCTATAATTATTTTTTCATTTAGGTCAGAAAGAAATTTTCTTTTTGGCACATACGAGGGCATACAAGTCATCAGTTCCAGGAAGTAACACACAGCCACGGGCAATTCCTATTACAGAAATTACTAAGAGATTCAACATATACATGGATGAGTAATTTTTATTCATCTGAAATTTTACTGTCAATACCATTTGTTGTTTTTAAAGAAATAGCTATAATTCCATCAGGTAATTTCTTTTAATGAAACCAAGTAGGCAGGGTTTTTCTAATGAAACCAAGTAGGCAGGGTTTTTCACAAAGGATGAAAACCAGAAAACATTTATGACCACACAGAAAGGTGAAGAAAGGGGAGCCTACTGACAGAAGCAAATCTGAAAACAAACCAAACGCATCCAAAAGACAAATATATGCTAAAATATAGAAAAAGAAGCTGGAGAATAAGGATTGTGTTTTGTCTAGCACCATGAAGTCCTCTGGTTGTTTATAAAATCATAAATACTTAAAGTAACATATTCATTTCAACTTAGAAGAAAAAAGAGGGCCCGGCTCAGTGGCCTAGCAGCTGAAGTTCTAGCCCTGCCTGCACCAGCATCCTATACGGGTGACAGTATGTATGCTGGCTGCTCCACTTCCCTTCTAGCTCCCTGTTTATGGCCTGCGAAAGTAGTGGAGGACAGCCAAAAACCTTGGGACTTTCCACCTGCTTGGGAGACCAAAAAGAATCTCCTGGCTTTGGATCAGCTCAGCTCTGGCTGTTGTGGCCACCTGCAGAGTAAATCAAGAGATGCAAGATCTTTCTCCCTAACCCTCCTCCTTTCTGTATATCAAACTTACCAAAAAACTTTTTTTTTTTTAAAGAAAAAGAGGAGAATGAAGATGGCAGGTTAGGATAGACATGCTTAAACAGACAGAAAAACATGAGCCAGGGTGAAGCACAGAGGGCACATTCCAGGAAACAGGAGAGGACAGACTGATGGCAGAGGGGTTCATGAAGACTGATGGACACAGGAAAGCAGCAGACACAACTGCGTGGTGTTGCAGTGACCACATTTCACAGCAGCATTCAGCAAGCAGTGATCTGAACTACACTGGCAGCTGAAACTTCACCAGCAACCAGGGGGGAACAGGACTTCACTAGGAGCTCAGGAGGTGAACCCAGACAAAGAGCTGCCCGTCCTGCTGGTTTGTTTGATTGGATCAGGAGCAGAGACGGAGCAGCAGATCCCAAAGAGGTGGTGCTCAAACAGGGTGGATTTCATAGCCAAACCCCCAGGAGAGCTGAATCAGACATCATCTTGTGTAGGGAGGGAATGGCTATGGGACAAGACTGTGCGTGCACTAAGCTGGGAGCAAACTCATTTCCAGGCTCAGTGAATTGCAAAGACGTGGCACCCAACAGGTTCCATCAAAAACAGGTTTGGGAAACCCCAGACAGACCTAACAGCCAGAAGATCTAAAAACTCCACGAGTGGCTTATCAGGTGCCATTTTGTACAGTGTGGCAAAGGCTTTGAGACTGCAGGGACACCAGGGAGCTGAGCATGTGTAAAGCTAGGAGCGAACTCAGTGAGCTCAGTGCATTGCACTGGTCCCACATCGAAAATAATACCGATTGTGGTATCTTACAACTCAAAATAGGTGTGTGTGGCCCTCAGCTCTAATAGCCAGCAGGTTCTGGCAAGATAGCACCGCCAACAACCTACTTATTCAGGGCACCTGGTGTCCCTAATCCTGGAAACGGCTTGAATTAGAAGTGGGAAAAACATTGAACAGACAATGGTGCAGCAACATCAGTGCGGGATCACAGGAGCTGGAATGCTGAGCCAGGAGCCAGGCTACGGAGAACATGGTGGAAGTCTAACATAACAGCCCAGATCTAGAACTCACTGGAGGGAGTGGCACAAGTGACTGCAAACAAAGAGCCATGTAATAACCACAATAGTTAAATGGAATCGAAGACCTGTGTGTGACACAGCTTGGAGACCTCCCCTAAGAAGAAGAATCTGTTAACCAAAAGTACCAAGAAGTACCAAGAGCAAAAGAAGAGACAAAAAGACACAATGAATATTACTGAAGATTCCCCTGCAAAGCAGCAAAAGCCTGTACCAATCTCAGAATACAACCTTGGAGTTAACTCAGGAATACATCGAAAAAATGGCAGATACAGAATTCAAAACACTTGTTACAAAGCTTCTTATCAACAGTGAGAAGCACATGCAAGAATTTAAGGAATATGTCAAATGGCAAATAACAACAATGCAAAAATAATCAAGCCAAATTACTGGAAATGAAGGATGCAACACAGCAAATTAAAAATTTAGTGCAAGGTCTCAATAACAGAATGAAGGAGGCCAAAGAAAGAATGTCAGAATTGGAAGACATTTCCTGTCACAATGGGGAAACAATCAAAAACCTGGAGGCAGAGCTGTGTCAAGCTAAAAAAAGTATTCAAGAATTTAGAGACACTACTAAAAGTCCAAGTATAAGAGTTATGGGAGTTCCAGAAGGTGAAGAACGAGAAGTGGGGCTTAAAAATGTATTCAATGAGATAATCATGAAAATTTCTCTAATCGGGAGAAAGAACTATGAAACAACAGCTAGGAGGGGCACAGAACTCCCGACAGGGTTGACCTAAACTGATCTTCACCAAGAAACATGATAATCAAGCTCTTGTCAATTGAACATAAGGAAAAGATCCTTCAGTGTGCTTGTGAAAAAAATCAAATAAAAAAACACCAACTGACACATAGAGGAATGGCAATTAAATACACAGCTGATCTCGCACAGGAAACTCCAGAGGCCAGAAGAGAATACAGAAATATATTTCAGATTTTAAAAGGAAAAATGTCAGACCAGGATAATGTACCTAATAATCCTTTCCTTATCTTCGGAAATGACCCATCTATCCGTTACCTACAGGATATACATCTCACCAACAAAGATCAGCAGAAACTATATCTCCTAGATTTTGATTTTTTTTGAGTTTCACTTCTTCAAAACATGTTTTTTTCTCATAAAATTTTTCAATCACTCATAGATCATACAGTAGCATCATTTCCTTCAAGAAGGCTCATGAGTTTCTCTTTCATATCATTCAGTAGCATGTTATTTAACTTTATGGCATTGTATACTGTATACACTAACTTTAATCACTTAGTGTTTGCTTTGGTCATCAGAGTGACCATGGTGGTCTTTTAGTGGTTGTGTTCAAGTAAACCCAAGTTGACTTAATAAATTCAGACACGTCAAAGAGAAATCATAAAGTCCCATATTCACATACATTTTATTAAAGTCAATCTCCTACTGTGTCTAATGCAGTCTTTATCAGTTGTCCATTTGAGGAAATACGGTATATACACTGTAACTGTAAACCTGTTTCAGGAATCCCCTTTGACAAAGCAGCCAACTAGTGTGCCCACCCTGTGAGTGCTGCAGAAGTAGAGCAACCAACCATATCCCCTCAGATCCCCTGCGAAAGCAACTGGCACTCTTAATTTGTTACTCAGCCCCTGACGTTTATTTTTGATCTTTAACATACATTCTAAACCACTGTTTATTTTTTTTTTGTCAGTTTATGACATTACAGAGGCAGACTTACAGAGAGAGAGGGAGAGACACAGAGAGATCTTCCACCTGCTGGGTCACTATCCTAGTTTTACAAACTATTTATAATTAGATTATGCTTTTTTTACATAATCCTTTTCATACATATTCTTTTAAAGGACGGGAGGATATACATGGGATACTCCAACAAACTGAGATGCAAGAATCCTCAACAAAATACTAGAAAACCGAGTGCCAGTGCTCAATATATTTCTGCCTTGGGTTATGCATGTCTTCTACATTTTAAAGCATTTTAGTATGGAAGGCAAGAGCAGTACCATAAACCAGGATCTCTAATTAACCATCTGATTTGATTTCTGGCTCTAAGGCAGGAAGACAGT